AAAGAGGGGAGAAAGGGGGGAGGGTGGGGAAAAGGGGGGGCAAAAAAAGGGGCGGGGGGAACAGGGGAGGGGGGGGAAAAAAGGGGGGGGGGGGGGGAGCGTAGGGAGGGGGGAACGTCAACTACATGCGGGAATGGGGCTTCGAGGTGAATGGGGAATGGAAAGACGGGGGCCGCTTACAAGGGGGGGATAGGATAGGGCGTCGTTTGAGTTTTTATTGCCAGAGAGACCCGGGAATGACGCTGGCTGCGTGCCCACTGTGCAAGCGGTCCGATACCATGAGTGTCGCTCACCAGGGGTGGTGACTGCCAGCAGGCAATCGGGGCATTCAGTCGCGTGCGCACTCGGCGACTTGGCGCACGGGCATTGGCCACGTCCCAAATATACACGAAAAACAGAGCAGGATGCAACTGTCCCGCCGCGGCAACGGCCCCCGGCGCCTGCACCGGGACCGTTCACCTGGGCTAGGCCGGTCCCGGCGCCACACGCACGACCGCCCCTCGCGTGACACGCGCCACCAGTCCTAACCCACCGACCGTTGACGATACCGACGTGCTCACGTGCCGCCGGGGCAGTCACTTCGCACGCAGCCACAAAAGTCCTCCGCGTGACAGGGCCGCCTTCGCGGTCGCACCCGCCCTGGTGGGCCTTGGCCCGGGGCAACCCGCCACCCCCCCACACCCCGATTTCATGTCGATGCTTACTGTAGTCGCGGGGGGTTGCCGCAGAAACCGTTCGCTGCCTGTTGGCGCGACGAGACAAGTCGGCCACTACGTACTGTACTGTGTCTTGCCGTGGAGCTTGGTCCTCGCGAGCGATGCTGCAGCCGGGATACGCCGAGAAAAACAATCTCTTCGGTAACCCCATCACTGCTCCGCCGCCCACCGTGTACCCCTACACACTCCCCTCTTTCGTACCATAACCATCTGATGTCAGGGTCAGGGTGCTGTATCCTATGTTGCAAGGCTGCAGCCGCGCCAAAATCACGACGGCGACACTGGCCCTGTCTCTCACAGCGGCTGCTCGACTTTTCGACATGGGGAATAGTCGCGCCTGGGCACCTTCCGCGTTGCAATAAACAAAGCGGCGGTGTAGGAAACAGAAGCGTCGGCGCCAAAGTTTACTGCACACATGTCACTGTGCTGACGTGGGTAGCCCCTGCGGAGACCTGGCGTTTGCGCTCCAAGTGTTCCTCGTCGACGGGGTGCGGTGCGCTTGCCGAGACTTGTTGCGCTGCAGAGTTTGTTTCCACGTGGCGTTGGAGACAAGGGTTTGGGAATGCGGAACCCCACCGCCCCGCTGCACCAGCACTCTCAAGGACCACCCATTGGTCGCGCTCGCGTGTGTCTTGTTCTGCGTTGTTTTTTCCACTGCCTGAATCTTCTGTAAGCGCCAACGCGGCAAAGGAGCTCAGTTCACACCGATGTCTCCGAAAATAGCTTCCGCAGTGCTGCCCAATCGCCCCTCAGCTGTAAGACCAACCGGACAACTTGTCCTCCTCCGCGCCCGCCCGTCCCCCAGTCCCCCTGGTCGCTCGGCCGTGCACGCCGTCGCCTTCCCACCTATGCGCTTTTCTATGTCTTTACACTCACAATCGCTGACTTGCTGCTCTTCTCGTGCGTACAAACACGACGGCTTCAGTGCACGGCACAGGCAATCCATAACCATGCAGCCACAGAGCGTGCCATACCCCTTGACGTCACCTGTGCCACGCGCAATTCACACCTTCTGCTCCACTCCACCCAGCCCTTGTTCCCGCGTTCCGTGCCAACTTTTCCGTACCGCACAGTGAATATTTGCTCCCATTCCGCGCCCCATTCCAATATTCAGCCACCGTCTTTTCTGCGACATTTCATTGGATTTGCACACGCATCGCCTCCAGTTTCCACTGCAAACCTTGCCGTAAAGCTTTAAACTTTACAGTACATTGGCTTCGGCCAACGCTTGCACTACAGGCAGACAGAGCCAAACTCTTCCAGCTTGCGGGTACGGTACACAAAGAAAGGGGCTCTATCAATCGCCCACCGACTGGCACAAACAGTCTTGATCACTCGCTGTTGTCCTCTATTTTTGTCCTTGACTACTCACATTGTCACACTGTTCCCGCGAATACCCATCACTCGAATTCACTTGCGGCGACAGCAAGGAGTTCTCTTTACAGAAACCAACCTAGAGTCACAGGGTCGAGTAGTGCGCAATTTTCGTACACAATCCGGCTTCTCACTTGCGATTGCCCGATTTTCGTTGCCATCTCTTTCATTCGTCCCGCACACACAACCATCCCACGAAACAACCAAAAACAATCCTTTTCCTCATCCGCTAACGTATTGCTTCCCCAGAGGCCTATCTGGTGTCAAGTCCAGGCCTCTCTGACAGCGCATATTAGAGTAACCTCGAAACAGATTCGCTTCCCCTTGCCGTCCACGAAGCCCAAGACTCACCGTACTTGCATTACACCTCTCCAGACACTCGTTCCTCTCTGTTTCCTCTCCTGCCCCGCGGTCCAGCAGCGGACCCTTGCAGCACAGTCATACATCAGTCCCAGTCTGCATCCGGTCACGCTGATATGACTAACGTGGCTTTTGACCTCGGAGCTCGCAGCCAATTACTGTGCTCTCTGAAACTTATTCGGGTGGTTAGCCGCATGCTGCGAGTACGCATCCCTTTTAGATCTTCCTATTGGTTCTTATATGCACCGTGCCAAGCCATTCTTCTCCCTCCACCCACCCCATCAATGCATCACCATAGATCCCACTGAAATCTAAGTTACTCCTCTCCCAGGGGGACTGTCCTTCACGAAAATCCTCGCCCCCTCGACTGCTCAACTGAGGCAATGACAAGGCCTACTGTACCATGTTCCAGCCGCAGATTTTTTTCCGATGCCATATCGACGCGAGACAAATGGGCATTGGGCATGGCAGCTCCCTCACCTTCCCAATTTCCGAACCCATTCTGCTCGAGTCATCACTGTGGCTTGCAACGCGCTTGAGTCATCTTTTTCCACACGTGTGCTACACTATTGCATGCACGGTGCCCTGCTCTCAGGACGACAACACTTTTGCAGCTTCGCAATCAATGAAGTCTCCCGTGGCAGTCGAAGGGGCAAAAGCCATAACGACTCCTCACTTTATTGAGGTACAGTAAATACAGTATGCCACCTGGTATTGTGTTGGACCCCCGGCCGGGGAGGGCTACTTTCTGCCAAGTTATAGACACAGTTTTGATCTCGTAGTCGTTATCACAACTGGGGCAACACTTATGACCTTCATAGAAAACACTTATTTACAACGGAAAGCCAACAGCCGACGCCCTCGCGAGGAGCAACTCGCCCCTTGATTGCAAATTTGAAACGAATCTCTAAACCATGCAAACCTGGTTAAGCCTTGCAACAGTCTCTCAATAAGTTCCTTCTGTCCCGAGCCGGCCACCTGCTAGCGCAAGCTGCTTACGCACTAAGTTAACAATGAAACAGCTATCGCACCCCTCTCGTATTCCGCACGCCGAAACTTTGCGAGCTTCCTCCCGCTCCACCCGCTCCACCCGCTCTCAAGTCCTCTGCTACACCCTTCAAATTTCATGAAACGTATAGTACGCAGCGAGATACGCGACGAAGTACAGTACAGTAATCCTCTGTGGCACTCGCCAACTTTCTGTCGCCAAGTCTCCAGAATGCCGCTCAGCGGCGCCCTTTCGTGCCCACCTTCTCATCCCACCTCTGTTTCATCAGGTATCTACTTGTAGGGTCAGATCGCCCGTTGACGTCAACTTTCGCCCATCTGATCTGTTCCGTAACGAGCATATTGCCCTTTGCCCCTTTTCCAATTTTTTTGCATATTTTTTGATAGGAAAAGTTCCACTTGGAGAAGTCTCTCGCGGCTCCTCGGCAGCCAATTGCAACGCCACCATCTATCTACAGTATGAATGTACTGTACCCTTGGTACCGCAGTCGGCTAGTGGAAGCTTGCTTGCAGTTGCAACATACAGTAGGCAACCATGGGTATTGCCAAGCAATTGTCACGCGCAATGAATTCTGCTTCATGGGCAGATTCTCAGGCATGTCCCGGGCTGTTGCTGGTAGATATGTAGGGTACCTCTACGGGTATGTCCACCCCATCTCTCACAGGACGGGATGCGAGACACAAGCGAGATTTGCTTCTCAGACCGCATGGAGTTGTCCCTGCAATTGCAAGACTCTGCCGAGCAGTTGCCCATGAACACACCGCTATCTGGCGCTGGCGCTGGAAGGTGGCGCTGAGTAAGGCAGGGGTGGACTGGACGAGGAGAAAAGGGAAACGAACCACGATTAATTTACTTCACCGAAGCTCAGGACAAGGGGTACCCTTCGAGTGGTACTTTTCCACCTCGTCATTCCGGGTCGCTTGTTGGAGTATCTCTGCGAATTGATAGATATGCATTGCGGATGCGACCCGACCTTGGACGGACGGTAGTTAGGCCAATGTTCCTATTTAACACGTGGCCACACCGCCTATACCAATCAAACAAACAGAAAGAAAAATATATTTATGTAC